GTTAAATAAAAATGAAACTACTTTACTAATATTATAAACATATTATGAAAAAGTATTTTGCGCATGAAACTGCGAACAGCGAAATTTTGCGATCCCTCAGCCCCTCCTCTTCCATTTCCAAGTTGTGGCTCAGTGGAGCGTCCACTAATTTTTTAAATACAGATACACACACACAGAGACACATATAGATATATATATATGTTTATGAACAGATAGGCCCCCTTTCACATGCGCAAACGGGGGGCTCCGATATTATTTTTTGTGGCACAATTACGATTTTTCCAAGCCCAAAGTCGATTAGTGTTTTGTGCTATTTTGTTAAGGTTTTTCCTTTTGTGTGTGCTCGCTCGCTTCTTTTGCTCATTTGCATATTTTTGGATTTATTTTTTACGTTTTTTACGTTTTTAAATATTATAATTGTTCCTCACGCTCTGCTCTTTTTTCTCCATTTTTGTCTCATTTGTTTGCTCATGTATTAAACGAACAATTTTTATGTGTCTATTTAAGTTGAAAACGAGAAAGAATCTTTGGAGCGAAAAAACGAAACGAAAAAAAAAACAACACAAAAACTAAAGGTGTTTTATAAGAACCATAAAAAAAATTATAAAAAAAATAAGAAAATAACAAACAAAAAGAAAATATATATATATATTAACACACTTGCATGAGAGTGTATGTGACAGAAAAAAAGGAAAACTTATAAATGTAGCTCGTAGTTGGCATTCTAACACGTAATATTTCAAGTATCAAAACTAATCAAAAAAAAAAAAAAAAAAAAACAAAAACAAAAATCTAGAAAAAAAAAAATAATAATCAATGAAAAAAGCGCAGCTATCAAGAATATTTGATCAGCAAAATGCTGAACTGAACCACTGTGCGCTATAAAAAAAATTTTGATGATAGAATTTTGATGTGTTTTTTACTGTCAACATTTTTAGGGTGCTTCCTTTAAGTGCACTCCCACACACACGCATACACACACATTGTATACGCCGCATATATACATTTATACGTTCCTCCAATTTACTTAAAACAAAAAGTTTGTAGTGTAGTGTTTGCAGCTCTTATCCCCCAGTGTTAGGCCAAGACGAAATCTGAACTGAGAGCCCGGAGAGAGAGCGAAGAGTTACCCGAAATTTGATTTGTTTTTTTTTTTAGACTATTCAAACACACAAACACACACACATACTGAATTTGATTTGTATTGTATTATTAATTTTTAATTTGTTAATTATGCAGCGAAAAGATCAAGCACAAGCTGAACATTTAATGTAACTTTTGCACACTCTATACTTTATGTTTAAAACGATATTACCAATTAAAAATTACAAAAAAAAAGAAAATCAACAAAAAAATCTCAAACAAAAACATTATACAATTCTTTTTATTTTGTTTTATTTACATTTATTTTGTTTTCTATTATTTATTTTTATTTGCAAAGAAAGTGCTTTAAATCCCTGATAGAGTTGATAGAGATTGAGAGGAGAGAGAGTTACCAAAAAAGCGTCAACGATTCGAATTTATTGTACGTACTTATAATATGCATTGAGATACCAATTTTGCCTGCTTTTTTGTAAAAGTTTTAAAAGATTATTAGATTATTAAGTTGCTAGATTTGAAAGTTGGTCTATATTTACTTTATATAGATATATATAAATGAAATTTACATTTACATTTACGTACGCATGCCTGACGCGCTCCGATTGCTATATATACAAACATACATCTACTTAAATAGTTAATAATCGTATTTATTCAATTTGCGTTATGGTTTGCATAGGTCCCGCCCCAGTGCCCTTCACTTTCGTTTGCCTTATTATAACTAAATTGCTAAGTCTAAAGCGTAAGCTAAATTATAATTACATTTATTGCTAAATACAAATATGGACAACAAATAAGTTGAAAGGAAAATTGAAAACAAAAAAAAAAAACTTAAGAAAAAATTAAATGAGTTATAGAGTTGTAGACCGAACGCCCTGCCCCGCCCAGCCCACTCTTCATTGAAAACCCCCCGACAAAGCAAGACAACAACAAAACCCTACCAACATTCACGGCCGTAATTTGTTAAGCTTGACTTAGCACTGACTCAAGTCCCGTCAAGTTCAGAGAGAGAGACTGATCCATGTGATTTATTCACTGGGCCAATAGTTGCCGTTGCCGTTGCCGTTTTGCATCGGGCTTTGGGGCAGGGTCGCTGTGTCTGGGCCCGTTTACCGTTAGCTGTCTGATTGTTTGCCAGACGATATCAAAACGAATCAGCATTTTTGAAGCATTTATACTAACTGGGTTGCAGACAAACTGAAAGAAAAATAAAAAAGAACGACTTATATACGTAGCTCTAAATATTATCCATTAAAAATAAATATATATTTAAATGTATTATCAACAAGTTGATAACAACAGAAATACTATTATTATCAATATACATTAAAACATATTATCAAAATATACAAGAGAAGCGCATTAACTGATACTACATTCACCTACATACATAGATACATTGCATGCCTATAACTATGGCACATTACATTACATACATACATACATACTCGTACATCAAATATCAAGTCAACAAGTACATATTGTGAACGTGTAGCAGCAAATGGATAAACCAATTTGGAATCGAACCGATATTACAAAAACAACAATTTATTACTAATAAATGTTAAATATACAAAATCAACTAAAGTTCAAAACTGATATTTTCTTGCGGGATTTGGGTAGAGTTTAACTATAGCATTATATTAAATATACATATTAATGATAAATTATATTTAATGAGTGCTACTAAATAGAAGTTGGACTGCACTAAGGATATGCTGTCTTTGAAGCTGAATCCAGAATGCCATTTCATGGCCGACACTCGAGATGATCTATGGTTAAACTTTCATAAACGTTTATAAAGCATTTTAACCTGCTTCATTCAAAACGGATAACAACAAGGTCTTAACAATAAAAAAGATATTCCTCAAAGATTAAAAATAAGAGGATTGGAATTTGAAGTGAAGTAATATCGATTTAGCGCTATAGAAATTAAAATGAAATTATTATTTTTATATTAACCTGAACCCATCAAACTGGGTAAGCCATTACCCCATAATACATAGGGTTTATTTTACCCTCTACTTACGCTCTTCAGTTTTATGATCTTTTATTGATAGGGTATATACCAAAATGTGGAAGGGCTAAATAAGAGTTAAATATATCCAAACAGCATTTCGATTTGTGTCAAATTTCAACTTCTAAGTTCTTAGTTGAAATAAATTCCTCATGTTACAGAACATTAAATATACTCCATAATATTATGCAGCTTTGACACGGCGTTTGGGAATTCAAATTTGCGTAAGCATTAAGGGCCTAAGGGCTTAAGGGCCTTATGCAAATTTTGTCTAGTTGCTGCCTATTAAATCTACTTTATCTTTCTAATTAGTCTTAATTGCATGCCTGATTAAATGCTTAACTTAATTATATAACTGACCTGAATAACCTTTTCATGAGGATAACTAATTTAAAAGTCAGCACTTCGGAATTTTATATGAAGTTAAAAATTTTGGATTTTCAGGAGTAATATTATCAAGGAGTATACAAATTAATATATACAACAAAGATTTTTCACTATAAATAGTTTTCACTAATAACTTTTGACTGGTTTTGAGAATTACTCGATACACCTACAATGGGCGTGTCAAATCTGGAAATTGTAGTTGCCGTATCTCGCTGCTTATTTATAGAGTGTTGAATGAGTATTCTGCCGTTGGTACCACCTGGCTGCAATGTAAGTAATACCGCTTTCTTACTCTCTAAAATGAATGGCTGTTTTAGTTACATACTACCGAGATTTATAGCCTGAGCACATTAAAAATGAGAAGGTGTCCATATTTATTAACACAATTTAAACCAATATTAATAAATATGTATAAAATGAATAGCCTGTTAGTATAACATTCATTTCGTGAATCATAATTTGCGTGCTACTATAGAGTGCGCCTTGATTAGGATGTGGTTAATTAAAAGCAATTCATATTTTTCTCGAATTTATATTTGCTGGATTATAAGCAAGAATGATACTATGAATGTTAATGAAGGTATATAATATTGTCGACCGATTTAGATGAATAAAATATTATTATTATTATTAAACTTTGATGTAAGTACATAACAAGATTTCAGTTGGGAAAATAAAAAATTTTAAATACCTAATTCGATCACGAATTAAGAACTTTATAAGATCAGGACTAAGATATGCACATATCTATAAGCATCTAAAAGACTTTAATCAGATTATTGTAGCCATCACACATAGAGCCTGGTCAAAAGTAAAAAATTATAATGAAATGACAAATTGTTGCCCATTCCCAGCTGGCTGCACACGTAAGTATTTTAAATAATTAACTAAGTAAGTTAGTGCTATTAGTTCATGAGGCTGGTGGCGCATTTTTGTTATCATCGCCACAGCTAGCTGCAAGGAGCGGCACTCTGAACAGCGCTTGGTCTCTCTATGTGACTCAGCCGCGCCCCATTGCTGACCCCTTGTGTTAATTTGCAGTGAGCCAAGTGGAGGATGGGTTCGCAATGAGCCAAGATGCGAGGACGATGACGATGGCGAGAACGAGGACAACGACAGCGGTGCAATGGGAGCGCCGCCAAGCCATTTGGAGAAAGGGAGAAATGAAGTGTGGTTGCGTGTGAAATTGGCTGAGTTGGGCTAGCATGAATCACCCGCGTCTCGAGCGACGACAGCGTGCGCAAAGTGTAATGAATCATGTGGCAATGGGAGCCGGCATCAGGCAGCAGGAGGTAGGCACTCAAAGTGGTTAAGCACAAACACTCGAAACACATAAGCGAACACATTGACATTCAGGTTTTTGTTTTGTTGTACGTGTTGGAAATTTGCAATTTATTTCTCGTTGGGTCTTACAGGTTTTGCATTTTTGGGCCGAGTCGCCGCCCGTTAAGGTGGCGCACAAATTGTTGGGCAAAGGCGCGTTTGCCGGCAAATATTACCAATTAGCTATACTCGACTTTATTAGTATGCCATAAAGTATTCAAAAACACAAATCTTGAATAGGCGGCGTAGACACCTCCTATTATTGCCAGCTTATAAAACTAAAATCAAACTTAAGACTAGGGATGCTAGACGGCTAAACACAAATTAGAAATTCCTGGCCTTCTTGAAATGTTTTGGCGGGGCACCATTCTCCTGTGCTGGGCGCTTGTTGAAAGGCTTGCTCGGGTTTGTAATGTTATTGTTGCTGTTATAGCCAGGCTTTCCGTGGTACTTCTTCTTGAGCAATCTCATCTTTAGAATTGAATTTGGCTCCAAGAAAATTGGTTGGCCCTGCACTAGACGCTCATTAAACAGGAAGGATTTGCAGAAGCCATCCTCACTGCTGAATTTAATAACTGCCCTGTAGGGCAGCATTTTGATGCTCTCGATTTCTCCAGCTTCTGAAAAGATTTCATTTAGGTGCTGCTCTTCGACACCTAAAGACAATAAATTAATTTAGAATTGGTAAGTGATAAGCAAAAATGTGACCTGGACGTACCTGGAGCCACATTTGTCACAACAATTGAGCGGGGCGAGGAGCTGTATTGGAAGGACTCCAATTTAATATCCAGATCGTTCACTTTTTTGCCGTTTAGATTCTTCTGCGCCTTTTCGGCCTGTTCGGCTGTCTTGTATGTAACAAAAGCCAGAATCGTACGTGTGCATACCGTATCAATGTCGACAATCTCGCCATGCTTCTTGAAGATCTTCTCGATGGATTCGGTTTTGTAGGATTCATGATTGCCAGTATTCATAAGGGTCAATGTGCATGCTGGACTTTTTATAGATTTGTTTTTCTGTGCCTCCTGACGAACCGTTATGAAACGATTGTTCAATTTGCTGTCCTGCAATTTTAAGGCTTTAGGCACAGAGCTGACCGATGCGAAACGCACATATGCGCTAGGCAATGCGCGATTATTGGAGAAGTTAACAGTTTCAATTTCCCCGCAGCCCTGGAAATGTGCAATAATTTGTTCCCTAGTAACAGTCGCTCCAATCAATCCCACGACAACCGTGCGCTCATTGAGCTCGTTCTTATTATACGCTTGAGACACAGTCAGGACTTGTCCATTGAGCGTCAAAGCCTTCTCCTTGGCAGCAAGAGCTGCCTGAACAGATTCGGGAGACTCAAAAGCAATGGCTACGTTGTTGCCGCCAGCTTTTGACTTGATCCTATTTATAACGGCAATCGGACCGAATTTGGCAAACAATTCAACCAAGTCTATGTGCTTGTATTCTGAAAAAGTATAGCATATTATAATCCAAAGATACAATACAATTTGATGTTATTTAATAAGCGCACGCATATTTTTCACCTACCAGTTGGAAGTCCGCGAACGAAGAGGATTTGTTCGCTGGGTGTTCCGGGTGGAATGCGACCGATAGTAATTTTCGGAATTCCAGTTTTCTTGGCTCCATATGCTTTATTTTTCTCGCTGTCAATTGGCTCTTCATCGGGTTCTTCGTCAGAATCGGCTTCCTGAACGTTGTCATCATCATCAGATTCGGCGGCTGATTTCGAGACCTTTGATATCTCGCCAGGTTCAGTTTCATTCTCGTCTTCGTCCTCATCTTCCTGATCCTGGTCGTCATCCTCATCCTCATCATCCTCATCTTCATCATCATCATCTTCGACTTCCTCAGCCTCAGAGTCTACCAAATCTGCTGCATCATTAGCCTAGGAAAAGTTACGAACACATGGTGTTGCTATTGGATTGCTCGAATTATATTTTCAGCTTAATACACACCTCAGCATCGCTGTCATCGTCAGAGTTTACACCATTCTGCTCCTCCTCGGCATCGGAGTCTTCTTCGTTGGCCTCTACTTTCACTTCGGGCTTCTCCTCTTCAACCTTCTTTGATTTTGGTCCGCGCTTGTTATTGCCAGCAGCCTTCTTGGTACTCACTTTCTTTTGTGCCATTTTTTGTGGATTATTTCACTAGTATAACCGGGAAACTCTGAAAAACGCGTGCTTCGGTATGCTCAAATGCACGTGGAAAAGAATGGAGAAAGAGTGTGACCGTCGCGATTAAAGGAAAAAACGTGTATTTATCCACAAGTGGTAGCACTGCGTCAGTGTTGGTGAGTGTCAATGTGAACTAGTTCATTCATGCATTATGCAGCACTGTAAACACTAGATGGCGATAGAAGAAGTTGTGTGGCGCTGTTGCTCATTAAGTATACATAAAAAAAATTAAATTACACATATATTTATTATTGAAAGTGCTTGAAAACAAAGAGAGCGCGTAAGCACACGCTAACAGCAACAGTAGTAGAACCAGCAATCGCAGCAGTGGCGGCACACAGTGAGCAGCAGCGTTTACGAACACCAACAACGCAGCAGAGACAGAGGCAGTAACAGCAGCAGCAGCAGCAGAGCAGCAGTAACACAACGTCCAGAACGACGTTGACGGTGACGGCGACGACGACAATGAACACACTGAGCGCTAACACGAACGGAAGCGGGGCTGGCTCAACGGGGAATAACAACGGAAATGGCAATGGCAACGGCAACGGCAGTGGCAACGGGAACGGTGGTAGCTCCACCACTGCCAATGCCACAACAGCCGGCAGCGGTGGTGGCGGTGGCGGCGGAGTAGGTAACCTTGATGAGCTTGGTGGCGATGCCAGTTCGCGCAGGCAGGCGACGCGAGTGTTTAAGAAGAGCTCATCGAATGGCAAAATCACAGTCTATTTGGGCAAGCGCGACTTTGTGGATCATGTCACGCATGTGGATCCTATTGACGGTGTGGTTTTTATTGACCCGGAGTATGTGAAGGATCGCAAAGTGTTTGGCCAGGTGCTGGCCGCTTTTAGATATGGTCGTGAGGATCTAGACGTATTGGGGCTAACGTTTCGCAAGGATTTGTATCTAGCCCACGAACAAATCTACCCGCCCATGCAAATGGAGCGGCCCATGACTAGATTGCAGGAGCGGCTCATAAAAAAGCTGGGACCCAATGCACATCCATTTTACTTTGAAGTGCCGCCCTATTGTCCGGCCTCAGTATCCCTGCAGCCAGCCCCTGGCGATGTGGGAAAATCCTGTGGCGTCGACTACGAACTAAAGGCGTTTGTTGGTAAGTTTTTCATGGAATTTATGTGCTTGGGCGTGAGTGCTAGTGTGTATTTATGTCTAGTACATATGTATGTACATACATAGTAAATATTTTTATTATAAAAAAGGCTTTGTTAGTTGGCGCATGTGTCACGCGCGGGGTTAATTAATCCAACTGCGTCGACTGCGCAAAATGTCATTGTGTATGCCGTACGTTGATGACGCAGCGCAAGGCACCTAATTGGAATTCGACGCTTCTAATTGGAATTCGACTCTATTGCTCTCGCAGCCGCAGCCGCAGTCGCAGCGCATTCGCAGTCGCGGTTGCTTTAATTAGGCGTCTTTCTGCTGACGTTCGGCGATTTTTCCTACATTCAGCACTTACATAAATGCTTCTTGGAAACTCGACGCAGCTGGGTATCTTTGTTTTTTTAATGCTTAAGTAAGCTGAAAAAAAAAAACAAAAACAAAAACAAAATAAAGTAAAATAAAAAACTACAGCAGCAATGACCCAAAAGCGTAATTGCCGATCCCGCTCTACCGCGCATACGCTCTCCTGCTTCGCGCTCATCTTGCTTCTTGCGCCTCTCACATTCTCATTTTGCAGCAATAATGAAATTGACAACAACGAAAACAGCAAGAAGAAGAAAGAGCGTATACAGCGTACTTAGCAGCGATTTATTGGGAGTTACGCGCGCATGTTTGCGTTTCGCACGCGCATTCGCATTTCTTACTTGGGATCTCCTCTATGCGCTCTGTTTCAATTGCAAGCTGTCTCACTCTAGCGCCTCTTGCCTTTGCATTTTTGTTGTTTTTATTGCGCACGAACTGCTATCTATGAACAGATGTATGTGTGTGTTTGTGTGTGCGTATGCTTGTATTTAGTACTGTAGCCACTTTGCTTTGTCCGTTAATTTTTGGTGGTTTTATTGCCCGGCGTCAACACTGTTATCTGTCTCTGGCGGCGCCTCTGCCCCCGCGGCTGCCACTGCCACGGCCATTTCCAATTGGTGTGTAACCATAAAAAGATTATCGAAAGCAAACTTGAGCCAAATGCCAATTGGGTGGGCTTGAATGGGCCACCCTCTGGCGCACAATGTATCCGAATTTGTAGCACGCCCCAGACATTAACGATTTCTGACTAGAATATACACACACACATGCATACACATACATATGCATATGCCATGTACATACATTGATATTTCCATAAGAATCGACTAATTAAAATTATAAATAAACAGTTTTCGAATTCGCTCTAAAGATTTCCAGAACATCAACAGAATGACTTTCACGATTGTTTCGAAACTTTTGTATGAGAATTGTGCTGACAGTCTTTTAACCAGCCGTTAAACCGACCCAGCTGTTTATACAAAGCCCAAAAGAAAACAGTTGTCAATCAATGTTTCAAACTATTTGATCTGGAACTAAGCAATATCCATGATTTCTTTATTTATAAATTTTCCCAATTTTAGGATCGAGTTCAAATAATTAGCTGACTTATGCAAAAGCCAAGAAGTTCATTGAATCCAAAACAGATATTTGATCAATTGAAACAGTTTTCAACGGAATTTATTTTAATATTTTTATGTATGCTAATCAGAAACATCACGGATCAAATTTCTTTCATTTTAATAATTACATATAAATTAAAATAGACTATGTTATTATTTACATTTGATATGCGACAATTGCAACAATATTTGAATAATTGCGATCGTTGTCAATTAATTCGAGTCAAATGTATTGAGTTGTCTTATAACAGTTGGATTCAATTTCTCGCTCGATCGCTTGGAAGGGTATCTATGATGCTGGCATGAGTACTAGATGTTTTTATTTACTTGGCATCTGTTGATTTGTTTATTTAATGTGCTCTGCTCTGGGTTGAAGCTGCCATGTTTTTGGCATAAACAATAAACCCAGCACCAGTAGTCTGCGCCGCTAATATTTATGATCTCAAAATTGAAAGTATTTTAAATTATTTTCATTTCATTTAAAATTGAGGCAACACAATGAGCATCTTAAAGCACCATCCCAGTACCGATATAATGGTGCGTCATTTCTCTTTACACACATTCTCTGGTATAATACCCATATGCTGATAGTTTCGTCCGTGAATCATCTGGTTGCTAAGCTGTGCTCAAACTGTGACGCACACAAAATAGAGCTTGACACGCCCCCGAACAAAATGATGCATAAATATTTGAGCTATTCTGCGAGAATGTGTGCGAGTGTGTCTGGGTGATGAATATCATATGTAAATACGTCATAAAAACAAGTTGAAGTCCAAAGCTAATGCTGTTTGTATATTTATCTAATGATAGGCGAGCACATTGAGGATAAGCCACACAAACGGAATTCGGTACGCTTGACGATTCGGAAGGTGATGTATGCACCGTCCAAGGCCGGAGAGCAGCCCTCGATTGAGGTGAGCAAGGAGTTCATGATGAAGCCGAATAAGATCCATTTGGAAGCGAGCTTGGATAAGGAGCTGTACCATCATGGCGAGAAGATATCAGTCAATGTTCACGTGGCGAACAATTCCAATCGTACAGTCAAAAAAATCAAGGTGTGCGTACGCCAGTTTGCCGACATATGCCTTTTTTCGACGGCCCAGTACAAGTCTGTGGTGGCCGAAACGGAGTCAGAGGATGGCTGCACGGTGGCGCCGGGCTTTACGCTCTCCAAGGTGTTCGAGTTGTGTCCCCTGCTCGCGAATAACAAGGATAAATGGGGACTGGCGCTGGATGGGCAGCTGAAGCATGAGGATACAAATCTGGCCTCAAGTACGCTAATCACCAATCCCGCACAGCGCGAAAGCTTGGGCATTTTGGTGCATTATAAGGTGAAGGTGAAGCTACTGATTGGCTCGCCACTGTTGGGCGGAGATTTGGTTGCCGAGCTACCGTTCACGCTGATGCACCCCAAGCCTGAGGAGGAGGAACACCCGGTGCTGGGGGATCGGTCACCGCGCGCCAGTCTAGCAGCGCCGCTGCTTAGCCTGGGCGATTCAGTTGATGCCGGCGCCGGGGCATCCTCGGGCCAATCGGCAAAGGATGTGCCCACCACCACAAACCTCATACAGCTGGACGACGATGAGGCCCAAGATGATGATATTATCTTTGAGGATTTTGCGCGCCTGCGCCTAAAGGGTGCCGAAACAGAGGCCTAGACATTGCCAGCCAATGTCTGCCCAACAGTTGATTGTGGCTTCGAGCAGCTACAGTTTTAGACCCGTAGACATGCGTACGCGCAATATTTATTGTCCAACTATATGTATGTGTTGTATCTGTACATATATAGATATATATCCCAAAAATAGGGCATTTGTATCATACGATGTGTATGCGCAGCCTCTGATTGTAAACTTTGAATACATAGCCACGGTACATAGTTTTATATTGCTATTGGTATGTGTAGGCCATACGTTCTAGTATCTATAGTATTTAAGCTGAAAGTGTACGAATTTTTTGAAAATGTGAAATTGTTTAACAAATACACATATAAACACACTCATACACACACACACACGCATGCAAAGCCCTCAAATACACTGACCAACTAAAAACGCCTCTAGAAATGGCGAATTATGCACAACAATTTTAAATCTGATTGTAATTGTTTACGCAAATGTTTATTAAAATTAGAAAATGAGAAAACGCGCGCAAATCTTTGTTAAAAGCCATGAGAGTAAGCAGAAATGTATTTAGTTTGATTATTTCGGTTATTTTTGTCTCCGAAATTTTGATGAATTGAAATTAAGTCATTTTGTATTTAGTTATGCAGAGAATGAGAACAGTTTAACTATATGCCAAAATATACATGCTTACAGATATACATAAAATGATAATCTAAATACGTTTATGTAATTTAATAATAAAATAATTACAATTTTTATTGCAATCAACCGAAACACCAATGCATCCAATTGCAAATGACGTTA